GTGTGTGTGTGTGTGTGTGTGTGTGTGTGTGTGTATATATGTATATATATATATATATATATAGTGATAGTGCCTTGGAGCCCTAGGCATGGACTAGGGCCATACTGTGCTTGGCACTGTACAAAGACAGAACAGAAAGTTAGACCCTACCCCAAAGAAATCATATAATACTGACTGGTCAAGGAAGACCAGTTATATTTTTGATGGGACCTCTGAATGTCCTGATTTAAGCGCATTAAAAATCTTCATGAGACACAAACACACACATGCAATAGTGCATGCACATGCATGCAGAAAAAAGAGTGAAATATTTTTCCCATATCCTACAGTGGGATTTCTCTCTCACATTCCAACCAGTCAACCAAGCCTCCAACCAGGAGGCTTTAAAGCCTGGTAAATGTTTAATAATGTACACTGCTTCTGAAAGGCCCTTGCTGGGTACAAGCTGACCTATGCTCTAATTTGGTTTGGTTTCCTTTGCTTCTGCTGCTTGTGGATCAATTCTGTAAATCCTCCCACACTCTCTTCTTTCCAGTTTCACAATATCCAAAACCGGGAAATTTAAACTGTGGCTAATATTTTCCTGTTTATAGTACATGTTGTATTTGTTGACAAAAAACCCTATGGGTTTGTGGGGGGGTTGGGCAGAAATTTTTAAACCTTTTAAAAACCATAGAGACATGCAAGTTGAATTTTAAAATGCACAGCTTGCAGAAACTGAACAGTAGCTACTTTAGAGGACTTTTCTGGCACACGCTTACAATCCTCACCCCTCAGCCCAATCAATGGAGAGCTGGGTTTGAGTGCAGATGTCCCACACAATGTTTTGAAACAGTCTCCAATGTTTCCTTAGCAGTAAACAAGTCCAGGAATCATAATATTTATTTGTGTTTTATTTTCAGGAGGAGCATGAAAAGAAAAGCAATGTTCACGTGTCCATTCAACAGCGACTGCAAAATCACCAAAGATAACCGGCGGCATTGCCAAGCCTGCCGCCTGAAGCGTTGTGTGGACATAGGCATGATGAAAGAATGTGAGTAAACAAGTGCACAGTGATTGTGTTCTTAATGTTCTTTAGTGTTGCAGTAGTTTAAGGCTGGGGATTTAAGGTACTTGACTAAGTTAGATTACCAGTTCCCATTGACTTGAATCTCTCAGGTCACTTTGAAAATTGTAGGCTAAAACGTTTGGGCTAAACCTTCAGAAGTGACTAGCGATTCTCTGGGTGCTTTTGTTTTTTTGGGCATCCAACTGGAGTCACCTTTTAAAGGGGCCTTGTTTTGAGAGAGTCCTGAGCTCCTATCAGGAATCAGGGTTTGCAGCAGAGCCAGTCTTTGGGCAACCTAACAAGCACAGGGCCTATAGTAGGTTGCCCGATTGGCTATACCACCTGGTTGATTGGAAGAGTCTTAAGCCCAGCAGCAGTTCAACAGCTGCTCAAACCATTCGCCCATGGCTGTGATAGTTCCTGGGCCTTCTTGTTCCCATCCTTGCTCCTACATTGCTCCCAGCCTTCCTCACTCCAGGTAACCCAATTCTGACCCTTAGCTCCAATTCCTGGCTTCTGACCCTGGGCTCTGGCATCTGGCCTCTGACTCTTGTTCTGACCCTTGGCTCTGATTTCTAACTACCAACTCCTGCTCCAGCCACTGGGCATGAACACCCCCCGACAGCTCCTGCCCTCTGAAACTTCGGGCCCCTTTAAGATATATCTCCAGATGAGCACCCAAAAATGGAGGTGCCCAGAATCACTAGACTCTGCCATGGAATAGACAAATAAGTCAGAAGTCTGTAGTAATACATAGATCGTTTCATGTATCACTCGCCCATCTTAATTTTTAATTTGGGGTCTAACTAGACTGCAGTAATTTATTGGTAAGAAAGTCCACAGTCCTAAATTGAGTTTTTCAGCATTCACAATGATTTAAAGGAGAATTTTTGCAGTAGGCCAAATTTTGAGACAACGCACATTGCTCCCAAATAAAAGTCAAAGCAGGGAATCCTACACCTTGCACGGATGGAAACCCTTAATGCGCGCACACTGCACTGGATCAACTTTACTCCAGTAATCACGTCATTGAAATATGCTGGGTGCAATTTCCCTAATCTAGATGAGCTCCAAGTGTCTTGTAGTCCTCGAACGTCTGTAAATATTGCATCCGAAGAAGTGGGCTGTAGTCCACGAAAGCTTATGCTCTAATAAATTTGTTAGTCTCTAAGGTGCCACAAGTCCTCCTGTTCTTCTTTTTGCGGATACAGACTAACACGGCTGCTACTCTGAAACCTGTAAATATTTTGCTTTCCAAATCCGCGCTTTTAGCTTCCCAGCCAAGCGCATCTCTTGCCTGGCCTTTCTTTGAAACCTTGTTTGTATTGTCTCCCGACAGCAGGAACAGGTGGACTGCTCTATTTGAAAATTGAATTCCCATAGAAATTAGAGATGTCAAACAGCAATTTGGGTCATCTACTTCATCTCCCTCTTGTCCTAGCAGAGTTTTTCATTCTCTTTTAGAAGTAGCTGCTCTGTTAGTTTGTTTACAAAGCAGTTTGCTCACTGTTAAATGCCAGGGAAATGATGCAAATGCCTTAAACATATTCCTTGCTAGAGAGCATTGTGATATGAGAGATATGTCCACCCACTAGAGATCGTAATCTGTTCATGGCTATATTTCCTGAGTTGAAAAGGGGGAAAGATTTCATAGCACTCAAGTTTTCCTTGCACATCTCAGCATTTTACAGGGACTTGGTTTGGTTAAAACAGGATGCTATAGGTATTGTTTCTGGACGGAGCTGATTAATGATTGAGAGGAGTATAATAATTGAGGGCTTGGCTAAACTTGCAAGTTAGAGCACATTAAGTCAGCCCAAGGTGCCCTAACTCCTGAGGTGTCCACACTGGCAAGGCACGTAGAGTGGCCGGATTCCGTGGCTGGAGCGCCCCGGTAATCCACTTCCACAAGAAGCGTAACACTTGCTGCGCCCTGGCTGGAGTGCCGTGGTGCCAGTGTGGACGCCCTGGTCTATTAATGCACTCTGATCGGCCTGTTCTAGCCACTCTGGTCATCACTTTTGACCTCCACTGCCCTGCCCTCAGGTGACCAACCGTCAGACCCGCCCTTTAAATTATCTGGGAATTTTGAAATTCCCCTTCCTGTTTGCTCAGCAAGGCGTGGGGTGCTCTCAGCGCATCTTTCCAGGTGACCATACCTCTACACGCCAGGCAATCCCCAGTATGGAGCAATGGCGAGGTGCTGGACCTCATCAGTATTTGGGGTGAGGAGCTGTCTAGTCCCAGCTGCGCTCCAGCCATTGGAATTACGATACATACGGGCAGATATCAAAGGACATGATGGAAAGGGGCTGTGACCGGGACAAACAGCAGTGCAGGGTTAAAGTGAAGGAGCTGTGGAATGCCTACCACAAAGCGCAGGAGGAGGTGCTGCCCCCATGACCTGCCGTTTCTACAAAGAGCAGGATGTGATACTTGGAGGCAACCCCACCTTCACTCCGAAGACCAGCATGGACACTTCAGAGCACAGAGTTCAACAAGACAGGAGGAGGAAAACAGAAGTGAGGGTGCTGAGGAGGAGGGGGACAGCCCAGCATTCCTAGATGCATGCAGCCAGGAGCTGTTTTCAAGCCAGGAGGAAGGTAGCCAGTCATAACGGACAATGCTTGTGGAAGAACAAACATCAGAGGAGGTGCCTGGTAAGTGACTTTTATTTTGGGAAGGTAGTTGTTCGGTGTGGGCTCTTGGGGCGAGGAGGATTGCAGGGTTAGGGCTGCATGCATGCCTAGATGCGGACTAGGGCGTTGATGTGTTCTCTCACATTGTGGTAATCAGCCTCAGTGTTCTCTTCAAAGGTCTCATGCAGAAGCTGGGCAATCCACTTGCGCAGGTACCTTGGCAGAGCTACTGTGCTCCTTGTCCCAGTAAGGCTAACATGGCTGCGCCCCTGTGCCATGACGGGTGGGGGGACCGTTGCTGCACACAGGCAAGCTGCATAAGGGCCAGGGCGGAAGCTGCATTGTAGTAGAAAACCCTCCCTTGCTTCCCAGGTCACTTGTGGAAAATGTGGGGACAGTGTTCAATACAGGGGCCCCCTGCAGCTGTTGGCACAGAACCCCAGAGGACAGTACGGCCCTGAAACAATCAGTCCCCCTTGCCCCTGTGCTTACTCACCATTTGGGGGCTCCTGTGGCTTATGTGCACTCGCTTTGGGACAGGCAATTTCTGCTATTGTGTACACTGTACTTGTCTTTTAAGTACGGCTGAATCATTGCTCAGTCTGGTGTGAACAATGCTGCCTCTGTTAAGTGTTGCATTTTGGCTTTACAGATGCAACCTTGAGATCCCAGCCATCCTTGTTATCAACGGCTGAAAGACTCCAAAGAATCAGGAAGCATGAAGACGTGCAGCAGTCCCTTAGTGAAAATCAAAAAGTTCAGGAGTGGCGGGAGACTAAAAGGAGGCTCTGCCAGCAGAATGCGGATCGCCGGCACCAAAGCATGGCGCAGCTGCTAATCATCATGGAGCGCCAAGCAGACTCGATACAGGCACTCGTAGCAATGCAGACGGAGCACATCCGCCCCTCCCTGCAGCCCTTGTCCCAAAACTCTTTTCCCTTGTACCCCCATTCGGGTTCTTATGACCACCAGCTGCCTCCAACACCTGTAGCTTCACCACCCAGCCCTGCAAACTATGACCCTTAGCCACCGCACTCAACCCCCATCACTGTGCATTTTAGCCAGCCTGAAGTGCAACACTCACTGCATGGCACTCCAGACAGGAACGCTGAGTATGATAACAGGACGTAGGCAAATCTGTGATTGTCCCATTTCCCACCCAGCCCCCTTCCCTCCTCCCACACAGCACAGATGTGTCATGCCCTTTCTCTTTCCGAAGCAGTTGTTTCTTTTCAATAAATGATTTTTTTGGCTTTGAAAACATTCTTTATTGCGTTAAGTAACAGATACCGTAGCCCAGGAAAGCAACCGGCACTGCAAGTCAGTGTATCACACGTAGCAAACACAGATGCCTACTAGCATTGGAACCACTGCACTTCGCTCCCGTGCAGGGCACCAAACATGACTGGTGGCTTTCAGCATCAAATTGCTCCCTCAAGGCATCCCTAATCCTTACAGCCCTGCGCTGAGCCCCTCTAATAGCCCTGGTCTCTGGCTGTTCAAATTCAGCCTCCAGGTGTTGAACCTCCGAGTTCCATGCCCGAGTGAATCTTTCACCCTTCCCTTCCCAAATGTAATGGAGGGTACAGCATGCAGCCATAACCGTGGGGATGTCATCAGCCAGGTCCAGCTTCCCATACAGTCAGCTCCAGCAGCCCTTTAAATGGCCAAAAGCAAACTCAACTGTCACTCTGCACCAACTCAGCCTGTTGCTGAACTGCTCCTTGCTGCTATCAAGGCTCCTTGTGTAGGCATTAAAGGGTAAGCGGGGTCTCCAAGGATCACAATGGGCATTTTGACTTCCCCTATGGTGATCTTCTGGTCTGGGAAGAAAGTCCCAGCTTGCAGCTGTGACGGGTTCGATCTCAGAAACCCCCTTGAGAGCTGCCACCCGATGTGCAAAGACTACCCCTGCTTCTGTTTTCCCTGCCAGCTCAGGACTCCAGCACCCTGTCTTGCTGAGCCAGACACTCCCGTCTGGCTCCAGACACCGACCCAGGGTCTGAATCACTTGTCCCAAAGCTGCAAGTTTACCTGAAAACAGCTCACAGAAGTGTGCGTGTCTTTAGCACTCAGATGCCCAACTCCCAATGGGGTCTAAACCCAGATAAATCTGTTTTACCTTGCATAAAGCTTATGCAGGGCAAACTCATAAATTGTTCGCCCTCTATAACACTGATAGAGAGAGATGCACGGTTGTTTGCTCCCCCAGGTATTAATACATACTCTGAGTAAATTACTAAATAAAAAGTGATTTTTATTAAATACAGACAGTAGGATTTAAGTGGTTTCAAGTAGTAACAGACAGAACAAAGTAAGTTGCCAAGCAAAATAAAATAAAATGCG